TGAAATTATGATAACTCAATTTTAAAAAAAAAAAAGTATCTTTCAAAAAGAATCCCAAGGGAGTGAGTCACCTCTTCACCAAGTGTTTCCTATCTTATCTGGTGTTGTCTTCATGCTAGCACAGCTTAAATTTAGTCCAAGGAATATTTACATGATCCTGGCAAGACTCGGAAATATGTTGTCATCTGTGTCAACACCAGACAGCTATGCCAACAGCATATTTTGTCTGTACCCTCCATTAAAAGCAGTTTTTTATTTCTGTTTTTTTTTTTTTCCAATGGAGAAAAGAGAAAATGCTTACATAACCCCGTTATTTGTACTGTTGTTTCTTGGAAATTCTGGACCCAGAGTAATAACAAGGGAGATAAACATTAAAATAGTGTTCTTTCTTCACCATGACCCAAGCTTGAAAATGAAATAAAATAAACCCATGCCTTAAAATGACAATGGAAGAAAAAAAAATGAATCATGCCTAAGGACAAGTCTTGCATTCCAAGGTTATTGCCCAAATAACCTGACACTGTGGTCCTGAAACATTGAAAATATCACTTGGGGCAGTGGATATAAATAATTTAGAAGGAACAGAGCAATCTGAACTTTGGTTGAAGGGTTTGGAATGTAGCTTCGTACCAGGCAGGTCAAGAAGACTATCGTTATAGAACTACTAACATTTTTTTTAATCTGTGGTTCCGTGAAGTTTCTGAGAGGGAGAAGCAGAAAGAGGTGTCCTTGAAAGTAATGAAACAGAAACCTAGGTTGGAAGTACCGTTGTTAGGACTAGGTTGCTATGGTCTGTTTCCCAAGAATCTGCAACTTAGGCGAAAGTGGCCTCTCAGTCTAAAACAAAATTGAGGGACACAGGGATTTTCATCCAGGTAATATGCATCTTGAGCTTCCCAGGGGGTGCAGTGGTCAAGAATCTGCCTGCAATGCAGGAGACCTGGGTTCGATCCCCGGCTCGGGAAAGATCCCCTGGAGGGGGGCATGGCAACCCATTCCAGTGTTCTTGCCTGGGAAAGCCCATGGACAGAGGAGCCTGGTGGGCTGCAGTCGTGGGGTCACAAAAGAGAAGGGTGAGATTTAGTGATTAACAACAACAGTTTATGTCTTCCGAGTGAGTATTGCAACATCAAGCATATTTGACCACCTGGGGAATAAATGTATCTGTGTCTGTATGTGTGTGTGTGTGTGTGAGAAAGAGAGAGAGAGAGAGATATGGTGAGAGAGATTTATATATACAAATATACATATGTATCAAAGCATTTATTTCTTTCACAAAGTCGTCTAGTATAACCCAAGTCTAAACCGAGCATTTCTCCTGTTATCTCTGATGCTACTTCTAATTCTTCTCTGTCCCTCTGGGCAAAACCACTTAAACCTTTTATCTCGGTTTCCTTTGTGGAAAAATGAGGGTAATAGACATCCCTTAGCCATCTCGGGAGTAACGTTTTGATGCCAGCCGTTATGCGATTACGGGAGAAGAAAGCTCTGAGCTTCTGGCAGTTAGGTGCTCCATAAAGATGATTAGCGGGCTCCGGAGATGTTTATCTTTTTGAAACCGACAAGGATTTGTCTTCTAAAAGCTCCTATCTGTAGCCCCTGGACACGTGTTCCCCGATAACTCTGGTTCAGAGAGATCTACTTCGCTCTGCGAGACAGGCAGAGGTTCTCCACTCCGAGAGCTGCTACCCAGGGTTTAGATAAAAAGACGTTCTGCCTCATGGAGTTGCGGCGGGGGGGGGCAGGCAAGCGGCTGCCAGTCCGGGCAGGAAGATCTGGGCGCCGGGAGGGACTTGGAGGTCAGCAGATGGCCCCGCGGAGGTGGCCGTCCAGCTGGAGGGACACACGGTGGGGGGGAGAGTAGAGAAGGTGCACAAAGCCGGTGGAGCCAGGCGGTATATGGAAGGCAAAGGAAGAGTGTGATTCAGACCTGCACACCATGGGAGCTCCTGCTGACGCCACGGCCTTGGACGTGGAGAAGGTTCCACAGAAGGAGCCCAGCCTCCAGCTTTCTTTACCTGTGATGACCTTTCCTTCAAATAACAAACGTCGGAGGAGTTGGGGGGGGGTGTACATGGGGAGGAAAGGGGACCCTCCCACACTGTTGTTGCGGGAATGGAAATTGGGGCAGCCGCTCTGGAGAACAGTACGGAGGTGTTATAAAAATACTAAAAAAAATAGAGCTTATCATGTGATCCGGCAAGCCCATTCCTGGGCACATGTCTGGAGAAGACTCTAATTGGCCAAGATATCTGCCCCCCGATGTTCATAACAACTCTCTTCACGGTGGCCAAGACAAGGAAGCAATCCCAGTACCCAGCGACAGAGAACTGAATTAGGAAGATGTGTGTGTGTGTGTATATATGTGTGCGTGTGTGTATATACATATACATAAATATATATGTCTTAGTTACTCAGTTATGTCTGATTCTTTGCAAATGGACTGCAGACCACCAGGCTCTTCTATCCATGGGATTCTCCAGGCAAGAATATTGGAGTGAGTTGCCATGTCCTTCTCCGGGGGATCTTCCTGACCCAGGCATTGAACTCGGGTCTCCTGCACTGTAGGCGGATTCTCTACTGTCTGAGTCACCAGGTAAGCCATGCATATATATAAGACAAAATATCATTCAGCCATAAAAAGAATGAAATATTACCATTTGCAGCAATGTGGATAGACCTAGAGAATATTATGTTTAGTGAAATGTCACAGAAAGACAAATATCGTATGATACCACTTAATGTGTGGACTCACAAATAATACAAATGAATGTATATGCAAAACAGTCTCAGACATACAAAACATTACTGGTTACCACTGAGTGCTGGGAATTAGCAGTATGGGATTAATAGACATAAACTAATATATATATAAGCTATATAAGCAACCAGGATCTACTGCAGAGCAGAGGGAATTATCCCTAGTATCTTGTAATAAACTCTAATTGAATACAATCTGAAAAAAAAAAAAAACGAGAATAACTATGCTATACACCTGAAACTAACATAATTTGTAAACCAACTATATTTAATTTTTAAAAATGCAATGACCTTTGTTGGGCTTCCCTGGTAGCGCAGCTGATAAAGATTCCGCCTGCCATGCAGGAGACACTGGTTCGATTCCTGGGTCAGGAAGATCCCACTGGAGAAGGGATAGGCTACCCACTCCAGTATTGCTGGGCTTCCCTTGTGGCTCAGCTGGTTAAGAATCCGCCTGCAGTGCGAGAGGCATGGGTTCGATGCCTGGGACAGGAAGACCCGCTGAAGAAGGGATAGGCTATCCACTCCAGTATTCTTGGGCTTCCCTTGTGGCTTAGCTGGTAAAGAATCCTCGTGTAATGCGGGAGACCTGGGTTCGATCCCTGGGTTGGGGAAGATCCCCTGGAGAAGGGAAAGGCTACCCACTCCGGTATTCTGGCCTGGAGAATTCCAGGGACTGTACAGTCCACGGGGTCGCAGAATCGGACACGACTGAGTGACTTTCACCTTCAGTGACCTCTGTTAATCTCAAAGGCGTCTTCTGCTAGATGTATTAGTATTATGCATTCAGCAATATAGGGAAACGTCATTGGTAAAGACAGACGTGTGTGTGTGTGTGTGTGTGTGTGAGAAAGAGAGAGAGACAGAGACAGAGAGAGAGCCGTGTGTGTGAGACAGAGAAGCAGAGATGTACAGAGGGACTGACTTTTCCTCCATAGGTTTGTAAACGAGGACTGGATTATCAAGGGGGTGCAGAATGAAATGCTTGAGTCCTCAAAGATTGAAACTAAAGTACAACTCATAAGACTTGTTCTTGGTTGGTCTTCAGGATACGTCTGAGACAGAGAAGTAAAAAGATGCTGGGAAATTCCCGACCCACTAATAAGAGGGGCTCCCTCTGCACTGACAGAATCGGGCTGCAGAATCCCACAGGTCAGGCAGCCATCCTGCCCACTGATGACTAAGCTTGTCGCTTTTTTTCCAAGCGACAGAATGGAGTGATCTTCAAACCAAATTTCCATTCCCAGCATGTGGAAGCCAGTCAATCTGAGATATATTTCAAGGGCCTAAGCCAACAGCCAGAAATGAAATGAGAGGGGGAGAATTAGGGTAAGCAAGTAGGTGTTGGTTTACTCTGCTACCTTTAGATCAAAGGTGGTGTTCTGGTAATACTGGGTTGGCAAATGTTTTTCTGGGGAGTACATTTCTGAGTACAGGGGGGTTGTCGCCAAGCTAAGCCTATCTAAGACAAGAGTGCTGGCTGTGGTCTCATTCAGGGTGTTTTAGCTGGAAACCATGCCCACAACCAAGGATTCCCTGAATGCCTGCTCCCAATATGAACCAGGAGTTTGTCAAACTGGAAAACAGGCAGCGCATCTATTCAAACCCACTGAGGTGTCAGTTCAAAACATGTGACTTGGTCATGATGGCTTACATCACAATCTTTGCTGGAGGACAGACTCTGAGAATCTCAAAACCGAGAAGGCTCTTTAAGCTAATGAAACATCTCTCGACTAGTACGCGCCCCCCCGCCACACACAACTTAACAGCTCCTGTTTCCAGTCAAGGAAATTTTTTTTTTTCAGTAACATGCTATACCCTGAATACGAGGAATACAAAGGCGAGTAAGACCTGAATAATCTCTGTCCTTAAAAAGACTGACAACCTAGCGTGGAAGACTGGAAAAAGAGATACACAGAACATTTTAGAGGCAGAACGGAGTAAAGCAGAGGTATTTAAAGCAACTCTGAGGCATTCAACCCGTCTTGGGGTACCCCGAGGTCTAGGATATGTCCAGGAATGGGAAGTGAAGACTTCACAAATGGTGAGTCCCAGTGGTAATGCGTAGCTATTTGAAAACTAGGTTTTCTCACAATAAAAAGCCAAGGTGTGACCCCCTGTAACTTCTCCCCTGGGGTCCCACGTCTGTCCTCAGAGGTGACATAGGATATGGCTGAGTCCTCACCTCGCATATGGTCCCATATGGCTGAGTCCTCACCTCGCTCCTTTGCGCTGCTCAGTCGTGTCCGACTCTTTGCGACCCCCTCGATGGTAGCCCTCTCCTCTGTGTATGGCATGTTCCAGGCGAGGATGACCACAAGCGGGTCACCCCCCTTCCCGGGGGATCTTCGGGCCCGGGTCTCCCGGGCGCCCCGCAGCGGTGGGTGGATTCTTTGCCACGGAGCCAGCCGGGACGCCCCAGGGGAAACACGCAAAGGAAACCTTAAGACTCGGGCCGCGGTGAAGACGGCCGTGTGACCCCCGGGCTGCCACTAGGGGGCGCGCCTGTCCGCAAGCCGTAAATCATGTGCCTTCGGTGGGTTGGGACGGGACCAGAGGGACTTGCAGAGAAGAAATACACACGGCCAGCGAGGACGGGAAAATCAGCAGGGAGACGCAAGTCAAAACCTCAGTGAGATACGACCTCACACCTCTCAGGATGAAAGCGAAAGTGTCACTCGCTCAGTCGTGTCCGACTCTTTGCAGCCCCGTGGACTGTAGCCCGCCAGGCTCCTCTGTCCATGGGATTCTCCAGGCAAGAAGACTGGAGTGGGTTGCCATGCCCTCCGCCAGGGCATCTTCCTGAACCAGGGACTGAACCTGGGCTTCCCACACTGCAGGCTGATTCTTCACTGTCTGAGCCGAGATGGCCATCATCAAAAAGACAAAAAACAAAACAAAGCAAAAAAAAAAAAAACCAAGTGCTGGTGAGGATGCAGAGAAAAGGGAATCCTTACATATTATGGGCAGGAATGCAAATTCGTGCAGCCACCGTGTAAAACAGGAGGAGGGTTCCTCAAAATATTTAAAATTAGACCTACCATATGGCTCAGCAACTCCACTCCGGGGCATATTTTCACAGGAAATGAAAACAAGATCTCGAAGAAAAGTCTCCAGTCATGTTCAATACAGCTTTATCCGCAATAGCCAAGATGTGGAGACAACCTAGATGTCCTTCTATGGGAAAAGGGACAAAGGTACCTCCCCCTACACACACAGACACACACAGACATAAACTACACACACAGAGAAATATTATTCAGCCATAAGAACGAAATGCTGCCATTGGCAACAAATTAGATGCACCTTGAGGGCACGATGCCAAACGAACTGATAGAAATACTGTGTGACCTCATATGTGGGATGGGATGTATGGAAAGAGGAACATGGAAACATGCAATGTCATATGTAAAATCAGACAGCCAGTGGGAATTTGCTGTGTGGCTCAGGGAACTCAAACCAGGGCTGTGTGACAACCTAGAGGGGTGAGATGTGGAGGGAGGTGGGAGGGGGGCTCAAAAGGAAAGGAACACATGTATATCCATGGCTGATCCATGGTAATGTTTGGCAGAAACCAACACAATTCTGTAAAGCCATTATCCTTCAATTAAAAAAAAAAAATCCGGACTCTTAGAAACAGCAGAGTGGTGGTCCCCAGGGGCTGGGAGCTGGGATTGGAAATGCGGAGATGTGACAGAGAACCAGAGACCAAGCTGTAAAGGGAACAGATTCCAGGGACGTGACGCACAGCACGGCGGACCACAGGCAACAACGCCGTCTTGTCTACGTGAACACTGCGAAGGCCGTAAACCTTAAACGGTCTCACCACCAAGGAAATGGACGGAAATGATGCTCCCTCACTTCAGCCGTGTCCAACTCTTTGCGACCCTATGGACTGTAGCCCGCCAGGCTCCTCTGTCCATGGGATTTTCCAGGCAAGAACACTGGAGTGGGTTGCCATTTCCTCCTCCAGGGCATCTTCCTCACCCAGGGATCAAAATCACACCTCCTGCATCTTTTGCATTGCAGGTGGATTCTTTATCCACTGAGCCACCTAAGAAGCCTCCAGAAAGAAAAGTATGTGAAGCGATGCAGGTGTTAGCTAACTCTATGGTGGTAGTCATTTCACAATGTATAAGTGTATCAAGTCATAACACGGTTCCGTTTTTAAACTTACACAATATTATGTGTCAATCATACCTCAATAAAGAAGGAAAAGATGATGGCATCCGGTCCCATCACTTCATGGCAAGGGAAAAACAGTGGAAACAGTGGCTGACTTTATTTTTCTGGGCTCCAAAATCACTGCAGATGGTGACTGCAGCCATGAAATTAAAAGATGCCTGCTCCTTGGAAGAAAAGCTATGACCAACCCAGACAGCGTATTAAAAAGCAGAGACATTACTTTGTCAACAAAGGTCCGTCTAGTCAAGGCTATGGTCTTTCCAGTAGTCATGTATGGATGTGAGCGTTGCGGACTACAAAGAAAGCTGAGCACCAAAGAATTGATGCTTTCGAACTGTGGTGTTGGAGAAGACTCTTGAGATTACCTTGGACTGCAAGGAGATCCAACTAGTCCATCCTAAAGGAAATCAGTCCTGAATTTGCATTAGAAGGACTGATGCTAAAGCTGAAACTCCAATCCTTTGGCCACCTGATGCGAATAGCTGACTCATTTGAAAAGACCCTGATGCTGGGAAAGACTGAAGGTGGGAGGAGAAGGGGACGACAGAGGATGAGATGGTTGGATGGCATCACTGACTCGACGGACATGAGTTTGAGTAAACTCCAGAATCGGTGATGGGACAGGGTGGCCTGGCGTGCTGCAGTCCATGCGGTCACAGAGAGTCGGACACAACTGAGCAACTGAACTGAACTGAAACAAGGAAAATACAGGCTGAGAAGCACAAGTTACAAATCCTCCTGCTGTCTCATCCTCCCATTTCAGTAGTCAGATCAACACGGGCTGGATTCCACTCTGAAACCTTTCCTCACCTCACCATCAGGACAATGTAATAGAGAGAGGTTCCGCAGCCTCGTCGTGAGGCGCCCGCCCACCCCAGAGAGTGCTGGTGGACGCTCTCCGGGCCTGGGGAGGAGGAGGTGAAGACCGTGTCTCCTCTGCCCCGGGGGCATCTCTGAGGTGGATGGTACTGATGGGGACGGATAGTCATCCATCCCCAGGATGGTCCCTGGGGCCACGGACTGAGTGTGCTTTCTTTTCGGTGTGTGGGCAGAGGGACACCCTGCAGAGCACGCTGGAGACAATTACCGTGGATCCGAGGAGCAAGTGTCGGCCTGCACACACCCCGGGCCTTGGCACCCGGACCTCACGGCAGTCCAGGGTGCAGTGTCTACGCTCTAAATGCGTCTGACAACGTTTGGCACTTCCCCGCCAAGGGCAGCCCCGCGGTGCCCTTCTCAGGTTGCACCCACCACCCCCCACCCCCCACCACCTCAGGCTGTGACTTCTGCCAGGCCCGCAGCTGACAGGCTGGCTTCCACGCAGACCCCGTACAGCCTCTGGGTGTTAAGTCGCACACACGGCTCTGGTCTCCTGCCCCGCGCTGGCTCCCCTGGGGGCTCAGGTTCGTAAAGAATCTGCCTGCGGATGCAGGACACCCGGGTTCAACCCCCGGGTCGGGAAGATCCCCTGGAGGAGGGCATGGCAGCCCACTCCAGCGTTCCTGCCTGGAGAATCCCCATGGACGGAGGAGCCTGGAGGGCTACCGTCCAAACGGTCGCCAAGAGTCGGACACGACTGGGCGACTGAGCTCGCCCGCCCCAAGCCCTCTGCATCAGCCCCCCGCTTCACCCAGGCAGAGACTGCGTGAGCACGCGTTTGCGTTTCATATTGTTGTGGATGCATTATTATTTCTGAGGCTCCAGGACACCACTTCCCCTGCAGGTCAAGCTAATAGAGCAAACCATGTACTGCGGTTCTGTTTGAAAAGCTGCACTCACACTGTTTCGGGAAGGGCCAGGGATAATTAGACACCGAAGGCTCTTGCTTTGAAGGCTGCTAAGAGTATAAAATTAGTGTGGATCACAAAGCGCGGCAGAGACCCCCCTGGGATTTATCATCAAACTTCCCTTCTCTGGCCCAAGTATCCCGCCCCTGCCCCCCCGAAGACGGGACCCCAGGACTCAGGAAGATTGCAACAGCCCGCTCAGTTCTACTTCCTAGCTGCTGTCGTACGTGGAGTTTGCTCTCCGTTAAAAAGCCTTTGCCGGCAGGGCTGCAGGAAGTGAGAACAGACTTCATTTTACCTGCTGAGCAACTGTGGAAAAACCAAGTCTTTTTTTGGCCTTGGCGGCCGAGGTTCCTTAAAAGCGTTCCTCCTAAAATTGGATACGACCCACAATCTATTTTATATACGCCCGCCTGCACACACACCAAAGCCAGGTGCGCCTTCAGGGTACAAACCCGATCATTTTGTTTTCCCCCGACGGAGAAGTAGACAGGAGTAAATGTGCAATATTCACTTTACCTTTTCTACGTCAGTTGAAAGATATATGGTTCTGCCCTGGTGGCTCAGATGGGAAAGAATCTGCCTGCAATGCAGGAGACTCCGGTTCGATCCCTGGGTCGGGAAGATCCCCTGGAGAAGAAAAGGGCAACCCACTCCAGTGTTCTTGGGCTTCCTGGTGGCTCAGCTGGTAAAGAACCTTCCTGCAATGTGGAAGACGCTGGTTCGATCCCTGGGTTGGGAAGATCCCCTGGAGGAGGGCATGGCAACCCACTCCAGTATTCTTGCCTGGAGAATCCCACGGACAGAGGAACCCCACGGGCTACAGTCCGTGGGGTCGTGAAGTCAGACACGACTGAGTGACTAATACACACACACACACACCATTTAAATCTATATAATTGCAAAGAAGGAAAATAATATAATTGAACTTTTACTGATAAATGCACCATGAGCACACTTTTGGTGTATTAGGCTAAACATCTTTCAGGTATTACACCTCAAAGATAATTTGAGAAATGGAACAGGTGCTTTTCTGAGATCTCAGCACTTTGGAGAAAAGCCAAGTGCTGGAGAGGAACTAAAGAAAAGAAAAACTCCTCTGTTACAGACCAGGCCACGTGCACTCATTTCCGCCCTGGTGATGTCCTCAGTTAACCGTGGAACCAAACAGGTGTGTGGTGGTCTTCTACCTTGAGAGTATCATTATTTTCAAAAGATAAAAACGTGATGACTAATGCTTTCATAAAGGGAAGATGCTTATTTGAGCAGAATACCACTTGGCGGCTAGAAAAGACAAAAAAAAATATTGGCTAAGGTTGAAGCAACAGAACCTCAGAGCCGTTATCAAGCTCAGCCCTAGGTTCCTGAGACCTCTCTAGAGATGCTGGTGGTCACAAGAGGAGAATCCCATGGACTTATAGGACAAAAATACTGAAATTAAAAGACGGTTGATCCTTGGGAGAAAAGCTATGCCCAACGTAGACAGCACATTAAAAAGCACAGACA